TAACTGTGGCCTGTAGCGTGTTTACAAATTATAATGGACAGACGGACGGACACACATGTCTAGATCGACTCAGCTACTCGAGATATGACGATCGGTATACTTAAAGGTGGGTCTAGGATGAGTATTTCGCGGCGTTACAAACTCTTGGGGCTGCACAAAGCTATAATACCCTGACAACATAGTTGTGTAGGGTATAAAAATATATCGGGGACAATATGTAAATAATACGGGACTGTAGACCATGGAACGGAAGTCAACCCCGTGATAAGGGGCAACATCGCCAACGATTAGCTAAAATATGAACATGAAAATCATGCGTATTTATATCCTTCACCACACTGTAGTACATGGCAACAGTCAGAAGGAAACGAGATATACCCATGGTTCTTTTTGAGAATATGCATAGAATCACTTTTGGGAATTTGGTGCACCATTTACCAAATTCCCCAGGTTTATCCTATTGAGACGACATTCGACATGATGTATGGAATTGAGTGTAAAGTCTCATATAAATCAGATCATATGTGGATATAGTCCAGATCAGATATGGAATTGAAGACTAGGATAAGGTGTACTGATATCATTGAAATCGGATCAGATTTAAATATATCTCCCATATATATTAGTTTGGGGCAAAAAAAAAAATCCATTATTTTTATATGAACTATAGGACTTTATTTAACATGCTTCGGAATGTCCGTTTTGGGCCAATTATGCACCGTTTTGTTGTATGATTTGTTGCCATTTTAAAGGTAACCTCGATTTTATTGATATTTTCGACATGAAAAATTCCTAAACGGAATCTGCGAAACCAAAATTGCACATAATTGCCGCTTACAGTATCGGAACCATAAACAACATTTACAATTTTAGCCACTTGGCTTTCATTTTCGCCTTTGTCAAAGAAAAACTGTAAAATCTATCGATTTTTCTAGTTGTTCACTTCCATTTTTAACACAACTGAATGCTATTAGTACAGCCATCTGCCGAAAAAATAGTGGATTTCTTTTCCCGAACTTAATATTAAGGGAGATCTTAATGGTAACCATAAATGGTTATTGAAAATAACACAAATCAAGTAAAACCAGTAAGAAAAGTGGTAAAGTCGGACGGGGCCGACTATATGATACCCTTCACAACATTGGGTAAATTTAACAGATGAATCTTAAAAGACGTCGCATTTTTGATTTTCACGAAACTTAACACACATCATTCTAGACTTTATTCAGTACGCTGTACCAAATTTCGTGCAAATCGAAAGATATTTAAGGACATTGGTGCACCATTTACCTTAAATCGGACGAAAATTTATATGGGAGCTATATAAATCTGAACCGATTTTTATGAAACTTAGCACACAACATTCCAGGCTTAATTAAGTACGCTGTGCCAAATTTCGTGCAAATCGAAAGATATATAGGGGCTTTGGTGTACCATTTACCTTAAATCGGACGAAAATATATATGGGAGCTATATATAAATCTGAACCGATTTTTATGAAACTTAGCACACATCATTCTAGGCTAAATTAACTACGCTGTGCCAAATTTCGTGCAAATCAAAAGATATATAGGGACTTTGGTGCACCATTTACCTTAAATCGGACGAAAATATATATGGGAGCTATATCTAAATCTGAACCGATTTTTCCAATTTCAATAGGGTTCGTCCTTGAGCCAAATAAGTGACGTATGCCAAATTTCATCCAATTCGGATAATAAGTGCGACCTGTACTTTAACAATTTTCAATTTTCAATTTTCTAAATCGGCCTGTCATCTAATGAACTCATACCTTACAAATAGATATCAATATGTTGCCTGCAATGGAAATTTTTCTGATCTTTTGCCAGTTTTTAGTGGTGTACCTCAAGGGTCGGTACTTGGACCGCTTATTTTTATAATGTTTATAAATGACCTCTTTCCTTTAATTTCCAGCTCAAATTGTTTACCATTTGTATACGCTGATGACATACAGCTCCTACTCAAATCTGATTTGGGTTATTCTGATGTTTTGCAATGTGTCATTGACTCATCTATGTGCATTCTATCCCGTTGGCTACAAGACAATAAATTGACCATTAATACAACAAAAACTAAGGCAATGAAATTTGGATTAAAAAATGGTGAAGATTTATTAATCAAATTTGATTACATTGATATTGAATTTGTTGACAGTATAAAATGTCTGGGTTTAACTATTGACAGGCATCTTAACTTTGAAGATCATATTAACTCTTTAATATCAAAGATTAATTTTGTTCTGAGAAAACTATATAATGTGGAATTGAATTTGCCTCTTAGTATTAGATTAAAGATTGCACATGCGCTTATAATGCCAATTTTAATTTATTGTGTGGAAATATATTCAGGAACCATCGGGACATTTATGAAGAAAATACGCCTTGTTTTTAATAGAGTGATAAGATACATATATGGTTTGAATATCAGACAACATGTTTCAAATTATGTAATACAATTTTTGGGTTGCAATTTTCGTCAATTTATAAATCTACGAATTATAATTCATTTTTATAAGATTATTAAAATACAGTGTCCACAATTTCTTGTGAATTTTTTTAATTTCTCTAGGTCCACAAGAAATCCCCAACTTATTTTTCCACAATTAACTCCAATTTTGGAACGTTCATATTGCACTAGGGTTGCTAGGGTATATAATTCATTACCACTTTTTTTGCGAACGTTCAATTTATCCCAATACTCATATCGCAATAAACTCTTACAATATCTTCAATCGCTTGAATAAAAGGCTACAATTAAGCCTTTTTTGCTTTTCCCTGGTTTTATAGCCTAGACAGACGACAGCCTTAATTTGCATTAACAATCTTTATTCAAATTAAATTGTACATTATTCAATGTGTTGTTAATGCACAAAATCAAACTGAATTTATATGAATTAAGGAATTTCAATATGGCAATGCTGTCGAAAATCAATTGATTGTTGTCAATACGTTTATGAAAATAAATAATAAAGGCAAATTTCAACATTCTTTCATATTGGAACCTCTTTTGCCAACATCATAGCCGCTATTTTCCCTTTATGTCATGTATCTATTTTAAAAGATATAATTCCTATTGCAAACATATTTCAATATATTCTTCATACACTTTTTTGAAACAAAAAACTTTTTTCGTCTGTCAGGGGTAAAAATTAATTCAAATTAAGAATTTTTTAATGCAAATTAAGGCTGTCGTCTGTCTATGGTATTAGCCATATATTAAATATATTAATTAAATTCAATATTGTATTGATTAATAATAAAAATAATAATAATAATTTCCTTCTAAATCTATCCTTTATTTTTTGGCCATTTTGAGTTATTTTCATACAATTTAATTTGTTTATTTTGAGTAGTTAAATACTGAAGATAAATTTCTGTAATTACTTAATATTTTACTTTAATGTTTTTGTAAATCAATTCAGAGTAGTTCTTATTCAAATTATTTTTTTTTTCTATTACTTTTAATGAATATTTATGGAGCTTGACAAATGTAACATGAAAAGAAATACTAGTGTTTAAAATTTATATTTTTAATTTGGTCTAAGTTTATTTTGTAGTACACTGGCCATATAAGGCTTTTTGGCTTGGCTTTGAAATGAATAAATAAATAATAATAATAATAATAATAAAAATACATGGACGGACGGACAGACGGACATGCATAGATCGACTCAGAAAGTGATTCTACGCATATTCTCAAAAGCAACCATGGGTCTATCTCGATTATTTTGCCTGTTACAAACATATGCACAAAGACATAATACCCTGTACCACAGTGTGGTGAAGGGTATAAAAAGTGTCAGTCGGTGTTGTAGGCATTTGTCTGCATAGCCTCAGTCTATGATTTGCCGAGGTCTTCGAAATTGTTGGGGGAAGTTTGCCATTTTCAGACCTGATTTACGTTTGGTAACTCGGCTAGTCCATTGGCATAACATTACAACATTAATTTTCAGCAACATATTGACCAGAAGATACCAGAAGAAGCGGACCGATATCTTCGAACTGGAACTAAGTTTGGAAAAAACAGATTATGATGTGCAAAGTTTGGGAGAAATCGTTTACAACCTACGAGTGTTATCGTCGGTCCCAGCTCGTCAGACAGACGGACGGACGAACATTCGTTATTCGACTCCAAATTGTCTGAAACGGATTTGGGCCAAAAAAACTTGGGCTCTAAAACTAACATTTCCAATAAAGTTTATATACCCTCATTAGCCATAAGGTTGATGGTATAAATAGTATGAGGAGACCCAAAAGAAGATATGACCAAACTGCTTTATAAAAAGGAAATTAACAGACTGTTCACAGGTTAGACTACTGCCATTTACATCGACTTGGAAGCTTCGCAAACAGTCGGTACAGATCATGCTGAGAAGATAACGGAACATTTCCTATGCCTTTGCCCGACTTTTCAAAATTTCGAACTCAATTCAATGGAAATTACACTATTAATGTAATTTTACTAAGAACACACAACCCCTTGACCCATAGGGAGACCAATCTTAAACTTCTGTATCGGACCTGTGGTGGTGGTTAGATAAAGAATATTATTGCCCTTTACACCACCTATATAACCTTTCTATAACGACATCTAGTGAGAAAATTTGGTAGCAACTCGGAATAATATCGTATTTTACCCTGAAATCAATTTTTAATATTTTTAAGTCTTTTGGCGTTTGGCCTATTCTAAGATTTATAGTAAAATTTTATGGCGAACATTTTTGTAGAATATTCTTTCGTGCTATAAACCCGTTTCAAATAAGGTTTCAATCATTTCGGGAAAATGAGACCAAAAAGGCCCCTCCAGCGAGTCGACTGAGGGTAAACGTATTAGACAAAACTATTTATATCACTAATATTGAATATAGGTTTTCTAAGCGCATATGAGCTTCAGCTGTACCAAACTCATATGCTAAATAAAATTACCCAAATATTACATTAATCATAAGAATAATTCAAAATATATTGTTCTTTTCAAATTTATTCACTATATCCTCCAATGGCTTCCTCAATCATTTGGGGAGCGGCAAATCGCAGTAAATAATAAGCCGAGCCGTTTTTATCATTTGTACCCGACAAACGATTACCAGATAATGGCAAATGACTCATATTGCCACCAGTACATTGATTATTTACATAAAGATTACCAGCTGACATACGAAGTTTCGATAGGAGTTTTGGTAAAATATCTTCATCTTTGGCAAATATAGAACCACAACCACCAAATTTTTGAGTTTCTCCAATAGTCTTCAAAACATCGTCCAATTTACTGCTCTCATAAACATAAACACTTAGAACAGGTCCCAAAATGTTATCTACCAAAAGACGATCGTGGGGATCCTTACACAACACAACCGTTGGTTCTATAAAATAACCATGAGACTTATTAAAATTTCCACCTACAATTATGTCATTCTCCTTTGTACTGTGGGCATAATTCAAATATTCAACAACATTATCGAAAAGTTCGGCACGAATAATTGCCGAGGAGAAATTCTCTTCATCTGTGGGATCGCCAATTTTCAGGGATCCGACACGATTTTCTAGCTGGTATTTTATTTCAGGCCATTTCGTATCTGGGACATAAAGACGTGCACAGCTATTTGGCCTTTGTCCGGAATAGCTAAATGCTGCAGTGATTGTCAGATCCACAACTTTTTCCATATCTGCCGATTCGTGCACGAAATGGTAACCCTTGCTATCACACTCACCCACCAGCCGTGGGAAACATTTATAATAAATTAATTGTATGGCAATGTCATGCCAAACTGTGCGTAGGGTATTCAGGCGTCCAGCATAATTTACACCTCCCAACGAAGGGGATCTTATGACGGTATCCAGAAATAAACGATAGTTTGAGGGTAAAAATTGCAAAGCAAAAGGCATAATACCAGCCTCTATGAGTGCTTTGTAGATGATATAGGCAGAATGAACACAAGCCCTAGGTGGTCGCCACAGCACAACATTACCCATTATTAATGGTCCCACGGCCAAGTATGCAGCACGCCATGTTGTATTTATCGGCCCTGTACATGCCACAAAACCATCCAGGGGTCTCAAAACAAACCGTGGAATCAAACATTCAGTTGTTGATGTAAGCTTCACTTCGGACAATCGTATCAAATAATCAGCTGTCGAATGAAGCATCCGAATTAGGCGGCCAAAATCCCTTTCAGTTTCTGGGCGAGTCTTTGCCTGCCCCAACATTATGGAAGTCATTAGCTCCGCACTCCTTCCAGGTTCACTGAGCAGCTTTGCTGCAGTTCGAAAACAATTTGCTCGATATTGAATATCGGTATTGGCCCATTCATTTTGTACTTGCATTGCCCGCTCTATGGCCATTTGTATATGCCTCCTTGTGGCGTAGTAATATTTTGCTGCTATTCTCTGATGATTGTGTGGCATTTGCAGATTTTGAGCATCACCAGAATAAATGGTTTCCTCGCCAATTGCTATTGGAATGCTAACATATTGGGAATAAATTTTCTTTACCGCATTATTTAAATCGTCTTTGTTCACTTTGGGCAATTCTATTGCAGCCGATGAAAATAGTCTTCGCAGTGGCCGTAGCGGAAAATTCCAGATGAATTTTGATAGCATTGTAATGTAAACAAAAGCCAACAGATATAAAAGAAGAATAATAAAAATAATTTTGACATTTTTTATTGCCACAATTCTATTGTACTGATTTACATTAACCAATTTTACATGTGGAAATTCTCGTTTCTGCGCAGCTATAATACAGTGATAATTTCTCAAACTCTTAAAATAGTATCGGATGAAAGACTTACTTACTAAGCTGGCTTGTGATAGAACATTAGTTCCATAAGCCGAGCTTAAAAACGATTTCCAAGAGCATCGATCTTGCGCGCACTTTTTTTCTAATTTGAAAACCCATGTTTCGAAATGTTCTCTTCCACTTAATCTTTCCATCGAATTCGCAGCCTACTCCTTCTGCGTGAACCATCAACTGGTTCGCTTTTATTTGCCTTTTGAGCTGGAATATCCTCATTTATTCACACAACATGACCTAGCCAATGTAGTCGCTGCAACTAGATACGTCTGACAATGTCCGAAAATAGATGGTACAACTCATGGTTCATTCCACGGCGATATTCACCGTCAACGCAGATCGGCCCACAGATCTTCCGAATTTCATTTATGGCTGTACCAAGGTATACAAAATCTTTGAATAACTTAAAGCTGTAGTTTTAAAGTTCCACAGTTGGTCCGAGTCTACTGGAAGTCTAGCGGAGTTGATACCATCAGCTTGGTCTTCTCGCCATTTACTGCCAGACTAACTTTGTCAGGTCTGATGCCGCATTGGTATAGTCCGATAATGTCATTGACCAGTGGCTTCAGTCATTCACAGAGCACGCTGGATAACACTTTATATGCGATGGAAAGGAGACTTATTCCTCGATAGATGGCACATATCGTTTTGTCTCCTTTTTTGTGCACGGGACACAGGATGCTGAGGTTCCAATCATTGGGCATGCGTTCGTCTAGCCAACTTGTACAAACCAGCTGGTGCATGCTCCTGACCAGCATCTGATCACATGGTAACCCATCGGCACCTGCTGCTTTTGTTATTCTTCAGCCGATTAATTGCTATTCTGACCTCATCTTAACTAGGTGGTATACACTATATACCGTCATCTTTTATTGGTTCTGGGGTATCTTCTTCACCGCTACTATTTGATACCAGAAGCTTTTCAAAATGCTCCTTCCACATCCTCAACACGCTGTTTGTATCTGTCACCAGGTTTCCATATCTACAAAAGGATGTGCATGAACCAAAGTCTTAGGTTTGCTGTTTAATTCGTTGGTAAAATTTTCGGACTTCATTCCGACTCCTGTACATCTCGATTTGCTCACGCTCACGTTTTTCTTGTTCTTTTTTCTGAAAATACGTTTCTTCTCTCACGTTTTTCCCGATAATTCTCCATCGCATTACTTATTGCTACTGTCTGCAGGGTTGCCCTATACGCTGGGTTTTTACATCAGTAGCATTGCGACACTCCACGGGTGGTGGTGGTCTTTGGTACCAAATGTTGCTTTTGCTGCAGTATGGAGTGGGCAATTCTTTGTAAGTGTGCTTTTATACTATTATAGGGATAAGAAGTGCTTTCGTCAAGCAGGTGGGTAAGTTGAGAGGAGTAGGCCTCGGCTATCTGTTGTGTTTGCAGTTTTTCGACGTCGAGTTTCCGTGTTGTGTTAGATCGCACCATTGCTGCTACATTAGGAGAGAAATCCAGGTGACCTTGTGTATATCGAGATGCTTGAATCTGGTGCAGCTAACTACCATGTTTTTGCTGCCGCGAAGGTAATCGATCTCATTTCGTTGTTGGATGTTTTTTCATGAAGGCTAAATTTTTTGATTTTTACATTAAAACCTCCTAGCAGAATTTTAATGTCATGACCAGGGCGCTCGCAAAATATGACTTTGGTCTGTTCATCTTTGTCTTCGGTCGGAGCATGGGAGCAACCAAGACTGATGTAGAAGAACTTCGTTTTTATGCGGATTTTAGCAATTTTCTCATCTACAGGAGAGAATCTGGTGACTAGGTCTTTCATTCTCCTCTTAACCATAAATCCGCAGCCAAATTCATGTCTCGTTTCATGGCAGCTATAATGCAGTGAGTAATCGTCTGATTTACTTACGCCAGTCCCTTTGTACTTCCTGAGTACATCCGCCAAAGCGAAAACTGCGCCTATTATGTACAACGTGCGCACATTCCAAGTGCAGATTCGCAGATCGTGGTTCTTTATACGTTTTCGGGGGTGGTCAACATTATAGGGTTGGGTTCTCTTTTTCGCTGCTTTTTCATAGTAGGAGGGGGTTTTCAAGTGTGGGCAACTAACCCGACGCACAGTGGGAAAAATGCAGATCTAGCGCGCAGAAAATAAAAGTAGACGTTTTACTGTAAATTTATCGATATTTTGGATAAGAATAGATTTAGATGGACAATTTTAATTATTTTCGGCGCTTAGTGGGTTAATAAAAATTAACCCACTAAGAGCCGAATTTAAAAAAAAAACTTAATTTTTTAGGTGAAAATTACTATTTTGAAGCTTTTTAAAAAATTTTTTAATAAGCAACATTTTTCGTTATAACTAATAGTACTCCTAAAATGGGAGCTTCTTTTAAAAATTCCGAAACATTTGGAGGGTAAAAAGTGGGTTAAGGGCAAACACTATTGGTATTATATGTATCGTTATTATTGTTAATATTATATATCTAAAATATTAAACTATATATATTTTATAAAATTTAGGCATTACTTATTAAATACTGATCAAATTCCGAATCCGAGTGTTGATCTGAATTATTTGGTAGCATTGGATCCTCCAGTAGTTTAAGGACTTCTGCAGATAGGGGCTCACTATATCGATGGGTAAGAGATGTACTACGAGACAAACTTGATATTTTTGGATCAGAAGAAAATAGCAACCTATTGAAAATATCCATCATTGTTTCCTCACGACTAATTTCTCTGGTGTACAGTTCCCTGTAGTTCCGAAAGTCCTTATTTCTGGATTCCATGGCTTCTTCAGACAACATTCATATGGGCAAAGCTGCACATTTCATTATATTAGCTCCATCCACTAATATTTGAAGGCATATTGAACCAAGGATATAATTCCACGAAAAGAATACATGCTCCTCAGTAAGTTCTTTAAATTATTCTGTGTTAATAGCATATCCACAGGCCATGGTTGAAAGGATGATACTAAAATTTTTAATTAATTTTTCATCAACACCAGTTATCGACGATGCCAAGCCAGGTTGGCCAAAAAACGCCTAGCAGTATGCCATCGTTTGTTGTTCCGGATACTGACTTAGGTGTGTCAACAATAATGTGCATTTCTTCCTTCAAATCATTAATGATACGTGCCTTCCTTTCTTCGAAAAGTGGCCGATCGGAGCTATTAATTTTCCACTTTTTCAAAACCAGTCGGTATGAAATGTGCAATATACATTCTAAACATCGAATCCTTGCATGTAAGGTATTCGTATAAGTTGATGTTGTAATCATTCATTACTTTTGGTGTTGCACCGCACCATAAATGTAGGTAAAACCGTGTATATATGATTGTTACACCAATGCTATTTTTTCAGGGTTCATAAAGTAGACCCTTTACATGCGGCATATGAGAAGACTCTTACAACCGAATTCGTTGTAATTTCAATTTTTATTTAGAAAGACATTTGGAGTAAATGTATCTTCAGTGCATGAGTTTATAATCAATGTTTGGAGCAGCTTACTTCAATACCCTCATTTTAATACTCACACCCATTACTCTGGAACCTTAGGACGGACATTTTGAACTTGTTTTTTTCTTATCTGCTATGCTGTGATCTATTCCAAGTCATATTTGATGAATTATATCAAAAAAATTCACAAATTTTTAATTTTATTTGAACAAAACCTTAAAAAAGCTTCCTACACCAAATTGGATTTTTTTCAAAAAATTGCCATAAATCCGAGATTCGCAGGAAGTCGCAGGAAAAAAATTAGTATGATGTTCTAGACAGACACACAAGAAAAATAAAACAAAAATCAAAGCTGAACTCGACTGCACTCCATACTAAATCCCTATTTTAATTGAAGGAATTAAAAAAAGGGCATTACATATATTTAGCCCGAAACACCTAAATTAAATTATTTTAAATTAAGTTATTTATTATATAACATTACCATTTAATTAAATACCAATACTGTATATCAAAAATGGACAAAATGTTATAATAATATATTCACAGAATGCACACGACCATCGCAATTTTGCAGCTAAAAAATGTCATTTTTAACATTGGAAAAAATTTATATTTTAAATGTACCATTATTCCGTTCTAGCTTATTAATTCGGATTATTTTATACGGACTTAAGTACTCTCAACACTCTACTTTAAAACTGCATTAATGTTGAAGTTTCCTTCAACTTAATTTTTTTAATTTATGCGCGCTAGATCGGTACTTTTTCCCACTGTGCGACGCCTCAATCCATGATTTTATAGTTTTTATTTATATTTTATAGTTTTTATTTCAACGGGTGATACAAATAGTTATCCCAGGTGACACCGTGGAGAGTTCAGTGTCAACCGTTGCTTGGTATCTGTCATCCCCTACACCATCGACGCAAAACTACTCATGTAAAAACCAATTTTTATGTGTGTATACATATAGGTGATAAAACACACTTGCTATTAAATAAATACAATCTTAAATTTATAAATTTTTAAAAATTTTCTAAATCTATATTTGTTTTTGCTTTACAAAACAAAAAAACAACATTTTACAATAATGATTTGTGTCAATTGAACTCTGAACTTTGTGTAATAGCATTTGAACGTAGACAAATTGTTGCGAGACATTTGCAATTATTATTTTTGTATTATTTAATTGTTTTTTGTGCGAAACTAAATTAAACTCAATGAGGCTTAAAATTAAAAGGCATTCAATTAAAGTATTTAAGTGGAAAATAATTGACAACTTTACATTTTGTGTTGTTTTAATTGATATCTATTTTTTTGTTTTGTTCGTTTGATTGTTTTTGTGGCCAATTTCATTAAGAGCTTATTATTAACAATAATT